CTTATGGCTTCTGGGTTTTCACAAGTCTTTTCCTTGCAATCTTATTTTCCCCCAAAGATGTGTTCTTTTTGGATGGTTAATGTAATGGGTCTAATCTGATTTGTTTGGTTGGTATAGCAAAGAAATGCAAATTTCTGGGATCACCGTGATTTGGGTTTTCATTGCACCAGGCAATCTGTATTATGTCAACTCTAGGTTTCAGTGTTAACCTTTTCTATGTGGTTCAATATCAAGAACATAAAAAATTGAGTCTGGCTACTTTTTAGGATTCTTAAGACAATTTAGACAATTTTACAGCTTTTTATATTTTGTTAATTTGCGATTGGGCTCAGTAATACAAGAGCTAACATGGGATTTTTATAATGTTGTTAATGCTAGTTGTTAGCAAGTTTGGGAATGTTTTGTAGATTTATTGATTATTGAGTTATCCGGAAAGCGAAATAAATATGAAATTGTTAGTTATGTTTAATTTAATGTGAAATTTGCCATAATTAGAGATGATAGTGTCTGCATATGTTTAGTCATTATATATTTCTGTTTTCTAAGTAACAACATTACACTGTTCACATCATGGAGATATGTTGCTTTTGCATTACATCTATGCTGAAATTTGCATATGCTAACCAGTTGTCTTTAAAGTACTGCAGTCCAAATTGTCATTTTCTGTGAATAAAGCGTCAAGGAGACACATTAAAAAAGGCAGTGGGTAACAGTTAATGTACATTTCTGAAGGGAATGGTCAAATATTTTGGACATGACTGAGTTCAATGCTAGAAATTCCTATCTGAATGAGAAGAAGCCCTTGGAGTGTTCAATATCTGCCCAGCAAGGGAAGGAGCCCACAGAAAAAGATACAGGCACCTCCATTTTTGTAAATCATGGTAAAGTTGCTCCCTTTAGATGATTACAGTAGAATTCTTCAAAGATATTTCCAACTTTTGGTACTTGTGTTGAATAAATTCATCATTAATGGGTAATATGGTGCAACAAAGATTATTAATTTATTGTGCCTGTCATTTTTGCTTTCGGGTGTTATAATACTATATATTTTCTCTGAGATGGTTGTTGGTAACAGATGGTATTCTGAACCACAGTTCTCAATTACATAGAGCAACAAACATTATCTGCTTGTGTTCTATAGTTTCAGTGGATTGAGATTTGAAAAATAGTTCTCTACCCAGAAACAGATTGTCTTTGCTCCACTGCTAGCTACTGGCACTTGAAATGTGGAAGCAGAAACCAGAATAAGGTTTAATATAGGCAGTTGTTTCTAGACTTGTACTCTTTTCTTTGAAGTCCAATACATTGAGCACAGTACAATTTAATGTTGTGGTTTTAATACTTGGTCAATAACAATTCTTTATAGGGTACATTTGGTCAAGTTTTCTCATTTTGTCTTCTCATTATATAGCCATGATCTTATTTCTTGTTAATTTAGCATAATCAGCTGGATCTGTTATGTAGCTGTGCATGCTTGGCATGAGAATAGAAAGAGGTGGGTTGGAGATCAGTCGCGAAGGTCAAAAAGGATAACTAAGGATCCAATTATCAGGTATATTGTTGTCCTGAAGCTTATGCTATGAGATGGAAGGAGTCTGTTGTTAAGGTCATCGATGAAGATTTCATGATACATTTGTGTCTATTCAACTTTGATATTGTATATTTGTATTTAAGTTGGTGCCTCCTGCCAACATATGAAAGCCACCATTACATAGCTCTGAAAAGGAAAGAAGAAAACTTCCTACTTTGTTTAGAGGGGCTAGTAGTTACCCTAGCTACATGGAAATAACTGTACAAACTTTCAGTTGCAGCTGGACAACAACATATGAGGGACTTCTCTCAACCAATGAGCCTTTCTCTGAGGCAATCCCTTTGGCAGTAAGTATGTTATTGAGTTGCATACCCAGGAACTAACATTTTCTTTCTTGACATTTTCATTGTGAGATGCAAGTTCCATTGTTTAAATAAATTAAGCACTCAAGCATTCGGTCAAGCCCATCAAAAACATCCTATTTCTAGTTTTAAGCTTATTGCCTATATCAATTTACTTGATTTGTGGATTGTGCAGGAGATGGTACACTTTCTAGTTGATATTTGGCATGAGGAGGGCCTCTTTGACTAGATAACAAATGACAAATATGTAGGAAGACGGAAACTGTTGGAGAATATGGAACCTTCATAGAACAAAAAATTTAATCTAATCTCTTTTAGTTGAATCTTCCATTTTTTTACTCATAAAGTATTAAACGTTGTCTAGCAGCAGCAGATCAGAAATTGTTTCCCCATTTCCCATTATAGTTACTGATTGGAATTTTGACTGAACCTGAACACTATGCCTGGTTAAAAATTTTCATGTATCCGATCCCTCTGAAGGAGGTGCCATTATAAAAGGCATTCATATAAGATGCATGATATGGTGCTGCTTCCATCATCCCTAATGTCCAAGCAAAGGCCATATCGGTTTCTTCTATAGTATGTATTTCATGTGTGACTAGAAAGCTTCCGTTTTGGATATTACTGAGTGTTACACGTATGTAATCATATACCATTTCCAATTGCTTCTATCCCACGGTAAATGTTGTCTTTCACACATTTAGAAATTGTTTAGATTAGTTTTGACAGGAGCAGTGCAATGCTTTGACAAAATTTATTCCTGAAGAAAGATAAGGGTGGGATGGAGGAAGTCCAAAGCAACTGAAGCTTGCAAGCAATAGCTTCCTGTTTCTATTTTCTTTAATCTTTCTACTTTCCTTGTATCTCAGGCAATTTCAGCTCATACTCCCATGACAACGAGATTTCTTGAATTATATTTTAATTCTATGTTTATTTCAAATTTATACGCTATTCATTTTTTTTTATTATAATATATGCTATACAACATAAGATAGTCCTTTCTTCTCAAC